CTGGGCTCTTTACTGCCGGAGCTCTGCTCCTGTGCACTCCTGCAGGAAATGGCCCCTGATAATAGAGCTTTCTGGTCTTTGGTAGCTGGCCTTAACTCTTCAACGGGAGCCCTGTCTAGCTGTAACATCCCAGGCGTGGAAATGGAGTGCCTATTATGCTGATCTTTTCAGTGATTCATCCTTATGTGGCCTTAAATGCACCATAGTACTTTGTGCGATATGCCAACTCCGTGAAGGCAGGATGAATAACTGTGGAAGGGCTGCGGAAGGGAGTTCATGTGCCCGCCCCCTGGGCTCTTTACTGCCGGAGTTCCGCTCCTGTGCGCTCCTGTAGGAAATGACCCCTGGGGACGTGAAAAAGTTTTATACAATTATGCTTGGCGTGGAGAAAGTGGATGAAGATCATTTTTTCTCCCTCCCCTCTCCCATAATACTGTAACGGGGGGGGGGCATGTGTTGAAGTTGATGGGCAGTAAGATTAAGGGTAGACAAAAGGAAGTCCTGCTTGCCGAATGAGTTATGATGTTACGGGATGATTAAATTGCAACTGCGGAAGTAATTAAATTGTGGATTTCGTTGCCAGAGGAGATGGCAGTGTCCACCAGCATAGATGGTTTTAAGAGTGGGTTAATCAGATTTGTGGAGGAGAGGTCCATTAAAGGCTAGTCGCCACGGAGACTAAAAGGGAGACTCTGTATTTCAGCCTCAGGAAATACCAGTGCTAGGAGGCCGTGTCAGTAGAAGGTCTTGGCCTCTGTGCCCTGTGCATTGGCCATCCAGGACAACTGGTCGGCCACTCTGTGAAGCTGGATGCTGGACTAGATGAACCACAGGTTTTTTATTTTATTTTATTTTAATTTTATTAGAGCTATATCCCACCGTCCCCAACGTGGCAGGTTCCAAACATACAGATCGGCAGGGCTATTTTTGGGCAGGAACGCAGAGGAACGGAGTTCCGGCTGGCTCCCAAGTTGGCCACGCCCAGCAGGAACTCATTAGCATAATAGGCCACACCCAACAGCAGAAACTCTTTAGGATTGGCTACATTAGGGGTGTGTGGCCTAACATGCAAAGGAGCTCCTGCTACAAAAAAGCCCTGGGTTTTGGCAACAAACAAGGTAAACAGAATAAGAAGCAAAAGGTGGGTGTGGCTGGATAACCACACTTCTGGTAACATGGGGGTGTGGCCTAATGCGCTAATGAGCTGTGCTGTCAGGGGTGTGGCCCAATATGCTAATGAGTTCCTGCTGTTGGGTGTGGCCTATTGTGCTAATGAGTTCCTGCTGGGCTTTTTCTACAAAAAGAGCCCTGCGGATCGGCAAATTATGCAGATGTACAATTAAAACATATTCATCAGTACAATAACCCTTAAGCTCACTAAAATCACTGAAACACTAAAACGTACAGCGTGCCTGTAAGGAAGACACCAACCTGTCGGTAACACAGCAACTTTGTATACCTGAAGGACGGCAGAAGGGGGAGGATTAACCTTGCAAGTCTTTACAGGAACTGGCCAGTACTCAGCTTTGCAAGAGCTGCACAGCTGGGATCTCTTAACTAACAACTGCACTGGAGACAGGGAGGGGAGTGGCTTAATAGGTCCTTCCAAAGATAAGATAGCAAGAGTTGTGGGGGGAGAATAATAACGCGCGTTTGGTGGGCAGGATGTTTTCCTACCTTGTGGAGTTATTGTAAGTGCTATTTTAATTACTTTTTTGTATTTTGGCAACCCCCTGAAGGACGTTTGCTTTAGCCTTAAAGCATTGTTAATTGAGGTTGCCTTTGTTGTTTTTTCGACAATAAAAGCTTTTTTTGCCTAATTTGCCAAGCCTGATTGTGGAGCCTGAAGTATTCTGACAGAGAACCCGAAGCCTGTGTCTTACAGTGCCTCAGCAGGTGATGTTAATTTCGGCGATGTTGTGGTTCCAGTCGGCTTCTAGGATCTGCGGTCACGGTAGGGGGGCCAGATCGAAATAAAAGCCTGGCGGAAGAGGTGCGTCTCACAGGCCCTGCGGAACTGTAACAAGTCTCGCAGGGCCCTGGTCTCATAAGGGAGCCCATTCTACCAGGCGGGGGCCCTAGAGAGCCCCTACCTGGCCCTAGAGAGGCAAATCGGGCATCCATAGGGCCAGGGACTACCAGGAGATGCTGGTTTGTAGAACGCAGTGTACTGCAGGGCGCATATGGGGAGAGGCAGTCTCAAAGATATACAGGCCCCTGCCCATTTGATGCAGCAGGGCTCTTCTTCTGAGAGCCAGTCTGGTGTAGTGCTTAATTGCGCGGACTCTAATCTGGGAGAACCGGGTTTGAGTCCCCACTCCTCCACTTGCACCTGGCTGGATGACCTTGGGCAAGCCCTAGTTCTGACAAGAGCTGTTCTTGAAAAAGAGCCGTTTCTGTCAGAGCTCCCTCAGCCCCACTGACCTCCCAGCGTGTCTGTTGGGGGGAGGGGAAGGAAAAGGAGTTTGTAAGCCACTCTGAGACTCTGAGTGAAGGGCGGGGTATAAATCCAATCTCCTCCTCCACCTCCAGTTTGGTGTAGTGGTTAAGAGCGCACTCGAATCTGGTAGAACCAGGTTTGATTCCCCACTCCTCACATGCAGCTGCTGGTGTGACCCTGGGCCATTCGCAAGTTCTTTCTGAGCTGTTCTCTCAAGGGCAGTTTCTGTCAGAGCTCTCTCAGCCCCACTGTCCTCCCAGGGTGTCTGTTGTGGGGAGGGGGAGGGAAAGGAGTTTGTAAGCCGCTCTGAGACTCCTTCGGGTAGTGAAGGGCAGGGTATAAATCCAATCTCCTCCTCTCCTCCTTCTTCTCCTCCTCCTCCTCTTCCTCTCCTCCTCCTCCTTCTCCCCTGTTGATTGTTGGGATAGGTGCAGTATTCAAGACTCTGTCAGTATTGGGTAGAGAAGAAAAGCGGCAAGAAGAGGGGAACATCCCAGTGGGCGGAGTGATGACAGGGCTGGTGGTGGCCGGGCAGTGGTGAGAGAGGGACGGGTGAGCAGGCAGAGTGAGGAGAAGCGGGAGGAGGGGGGCGGGGAGGGCAGAACGAGGACAGAGGGCATAGTAGGGAGAGCGAGGGGAGGGGAGGGAAGAAGAAGTAGTGTACGGAAGGAAGAAGATGGGAATAGAACACTTGATATATGGAAATATTGATATAATCTATGTATTTAATAGCTTAGTGTGCTGTAGTCAATTACAATAGGTCTATTTAAAACCATGAATGTCAAATCAAGGGATAAGCAAATTGGCTTCCAGTTTGGTGTAGTGGTTAAGTGCGCAGACTCTAATCTGGGAGAACTGGGCTTGATTCCCCACGCCTCCACTCGCAGCTGGTGGATGACCTTGGGCAAGCCATAGTTCTCGCAGAGCCGTTCTTGAAAAAAAGAGCAGTTTCTGTCAGAGCTCTCGGCCCCACCTACCTCACAGGGTGTCTGTTGTGGGGAGGGAAAGGGAAAGGAGTTTGTGAGCTGCTCTGAGGCTCCCTTGGGTAGTGAAGGGTGGGGAATAAATCCAATCTCCTCCTCCTCCTCCTCCTCCTCCTCCTCCTCCTCCTCCTCTTCTTCTTCTTCTTCGACTCCATGACCAGGTGAGATGTGAAAGGTCAGAAAGGCACAATCTTGTTTCAACTTTTAACTTCACCCAAAGAGTGATGAACAGATGGAATTCACTGCCACAGGAGGTGGCAGCGGCTACAAGCCTGGATGGCTTCAAGAGGGAATTGGATAAACATATGGAGCAGAAGTCCATCAGTGGCTATTAGCCACAAGGTATAGATAGGAACTCTCAGGTTAGGGCAGGTGATGCTCTGTATTCTTGGTGCTTGAGGGGGGGCAACAGTGGGGGGGATTCTAGTGTCCTGGCCCCACTGGCAGACCCCCTGATGGGGGGGGGGGCACTCAGTTTTATTCAGCTACAAGCTCTCCCTCCTCTGTGAGGGCAGATCTGCCCGTCCCCCCCCCCCCAATAGCTAGCAATCCAAAACAGTCCAGTGGAGCCTGAGTGGTAGGTGTTGCCTTCTGACACACTTCGAGTGATGTCAGTGGGTGTGGCGTATGCAAATGAGTTATGCTAATGAGTTATGCTAATGAGCTCCTGCACCTCTTTTTCTACGAAATGACCCCTGGGGGAGAGGATATAGGGATTACCAGGAGGAGAGAAAGAGGAACCGTTTTGAGGAAGGGGATATAGGGGGAAATGCAGCGTCCTTGTGGGTTCCCCACTTGTCCGTTACTAATTGCTTTTTCCCCTAGAAGAGGTTTGAAACTGAGTGTTAGAGCGGCACCGTCTGAGCAGCGTCTTCTGTCTTCTGCTCTCCCACCTTTGTAATCTTGGCAAAGCAGAGTCAGGGAACACGCTTTGCTGCGACGGCATCTGCTTTCATCCCAAGATGCACTGGAATCTTTTTGTTGAACTGTTCGTAGGTTTTTCCCGGATATTGCCACGTGGTGGCGCTGTTTAGTTGAGCGTCAGGACTGCTCTCCCTGCCTCTAGAGCAGTGATGGCGAACCTTTTAGAGACCGAGTGCCCAAACTGTGACCCAAAACCCACTTATTGATCGCAAAGTGCCAACCCGGCAATTTAACCTGAATGCTGAGGTTTTACTTTAGAAAAAACAACTCATACATTAACTTAAGATGATCCAAACAAAGTAAGGAAAGCAATCCCAAATGCTTTCATTTACTTAAAATTCGACACTTGAATGACGGTCTGGGCCTGGCTGGGGCGATGGCACGCGTGCCCACAGAGAGGGCTCTGAGTGCCACCTCTGGCACTCGTGCCATAGGTTCGCCACCACTGCTTTAGAGGCATTTTAGAAAAGAAGTTGCATCAAAATACAGTTTCTAAAAACCTTTTTTATCTTGTTTTTACATTTTTCAGAAGTGTGCATACACACGGAAGCTCATACCCAAAATTAAGCTTCGTTGGTCTTTAATGGTGCCACTGGACTCAAACTTTGCTTTATTTCTGCTAGTTATAGTCTGGCTTTCTCCCCGAGACTCAGGGCGGATTACGAGCCACCCAGAACAAGCTGTCGGACATAAACAGCCGTACAAAACTATCCGTAAAACAGAAGCTGATGGTTAAAAAGCTGGTAAGATTTTCCCTACGAAGAAAGGCTAAAGCGCTTAGGGCTCTTTAGCTTGGAGAAACGACGGCTAAGGGGTGACATGATTGAGGTTTATAAGATTATGCATGGGAAAGAGCAGGTAGAGAAAGAAGAACCTTTCTCCCTTTCTCACAATACAAGAACTCGGGGGCACTCCATGAAATTGCTGAAATGGTACTCTCTCTGCACCTTTACAAAATGGTTAAATAGGAAGCAAAATCAAAGCACTTTAACATGCAGAACATTTAAAATAAAAGAACCATAGGTGTAATCCAGAGACTCACATGCCATCATTGTACATACCAGGGTTATTTGATGTAACCATCAAACTATAGTTAAGGTACAACTACTCCTCAAGGTTTACAAGATTATATTATGTTCCTAAATATCCATACTGTGTTATTGTGTATCTATGTATCTTACTGCTATGCCATTAAAGGTATTTGACTTTGACTTTATAAGGTTATGCATGGGATAGAGTAGGTCGAGAAAGAAGTCCTTATCCCCCTTTCTCACAAGACAAGAACTCGGGGGCATTCCATGAAATTGCTGAGCAGTCGGGTTAGAACAGATAGAAGGAAGTCCTTCTTCACCCAAAGAGTGATGAACACGTGGAATTCACTGCCACTGGAAGTAGCGGCGGCTACAGGCATGGCCGGCTTCAAGAGGGAATTGGAGAAACATCTGGAGTAGAGTTCCATCGGTGGCTATTAGCCACAAGGTATAGATAGGAGCTCTCGGTCTTGGGGTGTGCTCTGGTCTCTTGGTGCTTGGGGGGGGGGGGTTCTGGAGTTCTGGCCCCACTGGTGGACCTCCTGAGGGCACCTGGTATTTCTGGCCACAGTGTGACACAGAGTGTTGGACTGGATGGGCCACTGGCCTGATCCAACATTGGCGTCTCTTATGTTCTGAAGGGAGGAGCTGTGGGTCAGTGGCAGAGCCTCTGCTTTACATGCAGAAGGTCCCATGTTCAATCCTTGGTATCTCCAGTTGAAAGGACCAGGCAGTAGGTGACCTGAAAGTTCGTTTGGTGTAGTGGTTAGGACAGAGCACGGACTCTAATCTGGGAGAACCAGGTTGGATTTCCCACTCCTCCACATGCAGCTGCTAGGTGACCTTGGGCAAGCCACAGTTTTCTCAGAGCTGTTCTCTCAAGAGCAGTTCTCAAAGAGCTCTCTCAACTCCACCTACCTCACGGGGTGTCTTGAAGCCGTCCATGCTTGTAGCCGCCCCCCCCTCCTGTGGCAGTGAATTCCACGTGTTCATCACTCTCTGGGTGAAGAAGGACTTCCTTTTATCTGTTCTAACCCGACAGCTCAGCAATTTCATGGAGTGCCCCCGAGTTCTTGTATTGTGAGCAAGGGAGAAAAGAAGAGAAGAAGAGATTGGATTTATACCCCGCCCTTCACTTGGAGTCTCAGAGCGGCTTACAAACTCCCTTCCCTTCCCCTCCCCACAACAGACACCCTGTGAGGTCAGTGGGGCTGAGAGAGCTCTTGACACAAACTGCTCTTTTTCAAGGACAGCTGTGCCAGAGCTTGTGACTGACCCAAGGTCACATCAGCAGGTGCAAGTGGAGGAGTGGGGAATCAAACCCGGTTCTCCCAGATTAGAGTCCGCACACTTAACCACTACACCAAACTGGCTCTCTCTCTCGACCTGCTCTATCCCAGGCATAATCTTATAAACCTCGATCGTGTCACCCCCTCAGCCGTCGTCTCTCCAAGCTAAAGAGCCCCCCAGCGCTTTAACCTTTCTTCGTAGGGAAAGTGTTCCGACCGTTTTTATCATCCTAGTTACATAACTGGGATGTAGTCAAGGGACAAAATTCCCCACTCCCAGATGTGCTCACTCCTGAAACGAGCATAGAGCAAAACGCCCATCCTTTGAGCTGAGCGTCTCTGCATATAAAACAAACCTCTTGGAATAGAAAGCAGAGAGAAAGGAGAGAAACAGTCACCACTCCTGAGATGAAACATGAAATTTAGAAAATTCTGGTCACCGGTAATATATTATATGGAGAGACATGACATTATCCCCACGAACCTAAATTATCACAGGTGGTTGTTCCTGTAATGAAATCTACGAACGAGTTAACCGTGTAGGTATCAGTGCCTTTCTGATGTTGAGTGTCTGGGGTTAGAGCAGCTAAGGGACGTGGAAGAAGTCTCCCCACTATACTTAATCTACTCGGGTGGTCTTTCCTCTAACGCAGTTTTGTAGCCCCTAAGTCTGGTTATTGTTGGACAGGGTCATGTGACGGAATAGAAGCCCAGTGTAGCAACCTATGTCCCCGGGTTCCTTAACAAGACCTTGCTTGGTCCACTCGGCCGCCTGACTTTTGCTGGGTTTTCAACCCCTATAACCCTCTAGAGTACACTCTTCTATAGTTATTAGTGCATGTGTTATTCGCTTATGTGCTTTCTGTTGTATTAATTTGTAAAAGAATAAAAAACTTCATTCAAGAAAGCATGTATGTCCCTTGAGCTCACGTATTCGGGTCCCAGGGAATCTCGTGCCCAGCGGCTGTTTCTCGAACGCAGTTCCCAGTAGAGCTGCTGTCGGCGCCTCCCCGGCTTGGATCAGAGAGGGTGTTCCGTCTTTCCCACCGGCTTGGTTTGTTTCCCTCCTGCAGATCACCCCGGAAGACCTGCAGAGCGTCTGCGTCCGTCTGTTTAGCAACCAGATGATGCAGAGCGTGGTGCACAGCATTGACTTCACGAGGCCCGGAACCGTAAGTGCGATCCGTCGGGGCCCAGGTTGCCATCGTTGCCTTGGGAAGTACCTGATGATTTGGAGGCGGTGCCTGAGGATTGGTGGAGTTTGAGGAGAAGAGGGAGCTCACTGGGAATTTGATGCCACTCTAGGATTTCCACTTCTCCTGGTCTCTATGGGGTTCCATAGAGTCCACCCTCGGAAGCTGCCATCTCCTCCAGGGGGACTGGTCTCTGTTATCTGGAGATCAGTTGTAACGCTGGGATAACGCCAGTCCTCGTGTGGAGGTTGGTAACTCTAACTGGGAGACATTGGCCATAAAAGGTCATACTGTTCTACTCGAGTTCTGTCACCAGTGAGCCTCATCAGTCTATTTCTTGAAGCTACCCAAGACTGTAATGGTCTTGTGAGGTGACAGCGGCCCTGAGCGATGAATTTGAACCCAGGTCTTTTGGCATATTGGACTGATCTGCAGTGGGTATTGAGGGGGTCCGTGCTCGCTGGCTGCATTCCCATCAGTCCCATAAAGCTCTATACAGCTTGGGGGCCAGCATACCCGAAGGCCCACCTTAAGAACATAAGAGAAGCCATGTTGGATCAGGCCAATGGCCCATCCAGTCCAACACTCTGTGCCACACAGTGGCCAAAACCCAGGTGCCATCAGGAGGTCCACCAGTGGGGCCTGACCTCCAGAAGCCCTCCCACTGTTGCCCCCGAAGCACCAAGAATACAGAGCATCACTGCCCCAGACATAAGAACGTAAGAGAAGCCGTGTTGGATCAGGCCAATGGCCCATCCGGTCCAACACTCTGTGCCACTCAGTGGCCAAAACCCAAGTGCCTTCAGGAGGTCCACCAGCAGGGCCAGAACTCCAGAAGGCCTCCCACTGTTGCCCCCCCAAAGCACCAAGAATACAGAACATCACTGCCTCAGACAGAGTGTCCCATTTATGAGAAGATAAGAAAAGCCATGTTGGATCAGGCCAGTGGCCCATCCGGTCTAACACTCTGTGTCACACGGTGGCCAAAACCCAGGTGCCATCAGGAGGTCCACCAGCAGGGCCAGAACTCCAGAAGCCCTCCCACTGTTGCCCCCCAAGCACCAAGAATACAGAGCATCCCTTGCCCCAGACAGAAGTATGTAAGAGAAGCCCTGTCAGATCAGGCCAGTGGGCCATCCGGTCCAACACTCTGTGCCACACAGTGGCCAAAACCCAGGTGCCTTCAGGAGATACACCAGTGGGGCCTGACCTCCAGAAGCCCTCCCACTCTTGCCCCCCCAAGCACCAAGAAGACAGAGCATCACTGCCCCAGACACAGACTGCCTTCTCCCACATGAACCGATCCGTTCTGTCCAGGGTGGTCAGCCGTGTTGGTCTGAAGCAGCAGAACCAATTTAGAGTCCAGTGGCACCTTTAAGACCAACAAAGGTTTATTCCAGGTAGGAGCTTACCTGTGAAGGGCACACTTTTGAAAAAGCAGCAGCGCCTCTTCCTCATACCCTCCAGTAAGGACATGGTGTTCCCTTCCCCTTTTGGTGTTGAGAGTGGGAAATCCTCGGGGCTGCCCCAGAGTAAACTCCCAAACCATGGTAGTAAAAAGAATGTTAAGGAGTTGCCTGTGCAAACATTGCTGGTATCCCTTTGAAAACATTTAGCGGTCTTGAAAGAAAACAAAGTGATTTCCCGGATGAGCTGGGTCTGGCTTGAGAACTTCGAGCTTTGTCTTTCTCTCTGTGTGTATCCTTTCGTATGTTGATTTTGAGATTACAGGTGCAGGCAGCGAAACTCAGGCTGATTCATGTTACCTTTAAGTCTTGTAGTCTTTTGTTCAGCAAGTGTCCCAGGTGGGCTGGGGTTGCTTCTGTTCATTTCATTGTCAGTTGACATGGAATGCTTTGAGAGATTGTAGTTGCGAGGGGTTTTCCTGCACCGTCCCAAGGGCTGTAAGCAGGGGTAGACAAGTGCAGCAGTCCAGCAGCACCTTAAAAAGTAACACAATTTGTAGCAGGGTAGGCGCTTTTGTGAGTCACGGCTCACTTCTTCAGATATCTGAAGAAAGCTCCTCCCCTGCCACAAATTTTGTCAGTCTTTAAGGTGCTGCTGGACCTTGCTCTTTTCTACTGCTTTTTGTTGTTCAGTCACACAGTCGAGTCCGACTCTTCGCGACCCCATGGGCCAGATCACACCAGGCCTTCCGGTCTTCCGCCGTCCTCTGAAGTTTGCTCAACTTCATGCTCGTTGTGTCGATGACACTGTCTAACCATCTCATCCTTTGCCGTCCCCGTCTTCTTTAACCTTCAGTCTTTCCCAGCATCAGGGTCTTCTCCTCCAGTGAGTGCTCCCTTCTCATTTGGTGGCCAGAGTATTTGAGCTTCAGTTTCATTATCTGGCCTTCCAGGGAACAGTCAGGGTTGATTTCTTTTAGGATTGACTGATTTGATCTCCTTGCAGTCCAAGGGACTCTCAAGAGTCTTCTCCAGCACCACAGTTCAAAAGACTCTATTCTTCGACGCTCGGCCTTCCTTATAGTCCAACTCTCGCAGCCATACATGACTATTGGGAATACCATTGCTTTGACCATGCGGACTTTTGTTGGCAGGGTGATGTCTCTACTTTTTATCATGCTGTTTAGGTTCGCCGTCACTTTCCTCCCAAGGAGCAGGCGTCTTTTAATTTCATGGCTGCTGTCACAGTCTGCGGTGATCTGGGATCCCAGGAACGTGAAGTCTGTCACTACTTCCACGACTTCCCCTTCTATTTGCCAAGGAGTGACGGGGCCGGATGCCATGATCTTAGTTTTTTTGATGTTCTACTGCTACAGATAGGCTAACACGGCCGCCCATCTTGAGTTATCCCCACGGAAGGCACCACTTTTAGCTGTACGGAATGGAGGTATCTGAAGAAGTGAGCCGTGATTCACAAAAGCTCCTCCCCTGCCACAGATTTTGTTAGTCTTCAAGGTGCTGCTGGGCTCTTGCTCTTTTCTACTGCCCCAGGCAGATTAACTAGGGTTGCCAGCTCTTATCTTCATCCCGGTGGGGGGCTCTAGCCGGCTCCGGGACTCTTCTGAGGACGCTCTAGTATTTGGGTAAAAATTCTATGGTCACCCTTGAAGGAAAGGCTGAAGAATCCTGGGCTTTTCCATTCAGAAAAGAGACGAAGAAGAGGGGACACACACATGGGTTCATAAAATTATGCACGGGGTGAAAAGAGTTGACCAAGAGGACCTTTTCTCCCTCTCCCCAAATACTAGAACTCGAGGGCATCCAGTGAAGTGGATGGGCAGTAGGTTCAGGAAGGACAAAAGGAAATACTACTTTATACAGAGAGGGATTCAAATCTGGAATTCGCTGCCAGAGGTTGCAGTGATGGCCACAGGTATAGACAGCTTGAAAAGGGGATCAGAGAGATTCATGGAGGATAAGTCTATCAATGGCAGCTAGCCACAGTGGCAGAGGGAAACCTCCACATTCAGGGGCACTAATCCTCTGAATAACAGAGCCAGGAGGCAACATTGGGGGAAGGCCTTGGGCTCTGTGCCCTGTTGTTGGCTCTCCAGAGGAACTGGTTGGCCCCTGTGTGAGGCAGGATGCTGGACTAGATGGACCACTGATCTGATCCAGCAGGGCTCTTCTGAGGTTCTTATGAAGGCCTCGGCCTCTGTGCCCTGTTGTTGGCTCTCCAGAGGAACTGGTTGGCCCCTGTGTGAGGCAGGATGCTGGACTAGATGGACCACTGATCTGATCCAGCAGGGCTCTTCTGAGGTTCTTATGAAGGCCTCGGCCTCTGTGCCCTGTTGTTGGCTCTCCAGAGGAACTGGTTGGCCCCTGTGTGAGGCAGGATGCTGGACTAGATGGACCACTGATCTGATCCAGCAGGGCTCTTCTGAGGTTCTTATGAAGGCCTCGGCCTCTGTGCCCTGTTGTTGGCTCTCCAGAGGAACTGGTTGGCCCCTGTGTGAGGCAGGATGCTGGACTAGATGGACCACTGATCTGATCCAGCAGGGCTCTTCTGAGGTTCTTATGAAGGCCTCGGCCTCTGTGCCCTGTTGTTGGCTCTCCAGAGGAACTGGTTGGCCCCTGTGTGAGGCAGGATGCTGGACTAGATGGACCACTGATCTGATCCAGCAGGGCTCTTCTGAGGTTCTTATGAAGGCCTCGGCCTCTGTGCCCTGTTGTTGGCTCTCCAGAGGAACTGGTTGGCCCCTGTGTGAGGCAGGATGCTGGACTAGATGGACCACTGATCTGATCCAGCAGGGCTCTTCTGAGGTTCTTATGAAGGCCTCGGCCTCTGTGCCCTGTTGTTGGCTCTCCAGAGGAACTGGTTGGCCCCTGTGTGAGGCAGGATGCTGGACTAGATGGACCACTGATCTGATCCAGCAGGGCTCTTCTGAGGTTCTTATGAAGGCCTCGGCCTCTGTGCCCTGTTGTTGGCTCTCCAGAGGAACTGGTTGGCCCCTGTGTGAGGCAGGATGCTGGACTAGATGGACCACTGATCTGATCCAGCAGGGCTCTTCTGAGGTTCTTATGAAGGCCTCGGCCTCTGTGCCCTGTTGTTGGCTCTCCAGAGGAACTGGTTGGCCCCTGTGTGAGGCAGGATGCTGGACTAGATGGACCACTGATCTGATCCAGCAGGGCTCTTCTGAGGTTCTTATGAAGGCCTCGGCCTCTGTGCCCTGTTGTTGGCTCTCCAGAGGAACTGGTTGGCCCCTGTGTGAGGCAGGATGCTGGACTAGATGGACCACTGATCTGATCCAGCAGGGCTCTTCTGAGGTTCTTATGAAGGCCTCGGCCTCTGTGCCCTGTTGTTGGCTCTCCAGAGGAACTGGTTGGCCCCTGTGTGAGGCAGGATGCTGGACTAGATGGACCACTGATCTGATCCAGCAGGGCTCTTCTGAGGTTCTTATGAAGGCCTCGGCCTCTGTGCCCTGTTGTTGGCTCTCCAGAGGAACTGGTTGGCCCCTGTGTGAGGCAGGATGCTGGACTAGATGGACCACTGATCTGATCCAGCAGGGCTCT